CTGACTGGATGAGAGGCCCCCAACCTGACTATAGGCTGCAAGGTGGGGGGAGTGGCCTATCTTTCCCTTCTGCGGGATGAGATCTGACTCCCAATAGGGTTTTGACTTTGAGAGGTCTCTCCCCAGCGGGGGGGTTGCTTGCTGTGACGGTGGGGCTTGGCCTGCTTCGTAGTGGGGTGTCGAGGAGGGACTTGTTGCTAGTTTTTGGGTAGTGGTGGAAATTGCTATTGATATTGGTGCTGATAGACTTGGTGCAACACTTGCTGCTGATACAGCTGAAACTATTGAAACTGTTGCATTTGGGCCTGCATAGCTCACATGTAGTGTACTAGGTCTTCAAGCTGGTTTTGGCCGGTCACCGGAGGGATAGAAGGTTTGGCGAAGGTTGCTCCTATCGTGGAGAGAAGTGGAGTGTTCACAAGTGCCATTATTTGAGGCACGTTCAGAGTAGGAACTTCGTCTGCAGAGAGGGGGATGGTGAACTGTCCAATGCACACCACCAGGACCTGGAGTTGCTCTCCGGCGGTGTTCATTTCTACGCTGCGTCCGACGTTGTTGGAGAAAGCCATGAAAACTGAAGTCTATAAATTTTGTGGAAGAAGGCTTTTTGAAACATTCCCACAGACGGTGCCAAATTATGTAGCGTGATCTAGTCACTCCTAGCTGGCAGGGGCCTCGCTCCTAGCTAGAAACGGACAACACCTGAGAAGGAGAAGAAGACGAAGGATTCCCGGGGAGCTCGCCTGGCGGGAACACTCCAATGCTTAAGTTAGAACTCAGTGGAAAACTAAGATAGTTGCGAAGTGATAAATGCTAAGAGTGAAGATTCGTGACTTTTCAATTACCTTGCCCCTTGGAAATCGAGGCCTTTATATACTGATGCTCTGTCACATCGGGTATAACCGCCTCTGATTCTCTGCTACAGCCGCTATTCACCAGGCTGATTCGACTGGTGCAGGTAACCGTCGCAGAGTATGGTCCTGTCAGTTGAGAGACGTTATGCAGAGCTGGCGTGCACGACGCCGCCTGACGTTGAGACGTGGGCGCAGTCCTCTGGGCTGGCAAGTGCTGCGCCGCCAGAAAAGAGACATGGGAGCAGTCTGACAGGCACAGTCTTGTCGAATGAGAAGTTTCCCGAAGACTCCGGGTTGCTCAGTAGCGAGCTCCTTCGTAGCCAGCTCCTTTGTAGCGAACTCCTTTATAGCAAGCTCCTTTGGAGCGAGCTCCAATAGCTGCTGCCTTGCAGCAAGCCGTTCTGTAGCGAGCTGTCTTGTGCTTACTGTTCATGCTGACCTGTCATTTACATTGAGTCATATCCACGTGCCCCCTGGTTAGGAGGTCGGGTCAAATCACCCTCCATCAGATATGATGCGGGAAAAATCTTATTTTGATCTAGGTAGAGAAAATGCTTCAACAGGTGCAAAACCACATTTTGGAGTGGCTTTTGCGGTGGCTTTTTCCGATATCATAAAGGAAGATGGAAAGGTAGCTTCATGGCTTGTATTAAGCTGTTAAGTGAAGTCCTTGAATAGGTTTTATTCTCTAACATGCCCCATCACACAAAAGCCCATTGGGCTTGAAGTGTGGACAACACAGGCCCACCCATACCTTGTGCTAAAACTTAATTATTTATAATGGGGATAACGAGAATCGAACACTAGACCACTTAGTCAAAGTGGCTCTGGTACCATCTCAAAGAACTATTGAACCTAAAAGCTTAAGCTTTTAAGTGAGGTCCTTGAATAAGTTTTATTCTCTAACACTATATATTACATCTCTTATGACCAGAAGATGTCCAAAATGGCAAGCAGAAGTCATTTGTTTGAACACTCTCTTCTTGCTAAAAGTGTGCAGACATGTTAGCTACTTTAGCTGGTTATCAACTAAATAGATGTAAATACCTTGAGCATCCTCCTATAGAGATTCTATCTGATGTGGGAGGGTGTCTCAGGTATAGCTCAATTGCGTCACTGTAATAATAGGTCCTCTTAGTTTTTGTTTTTGATATTCAAATGAATGAAAAGAAACACATTTTGTAGTTTTATTGAACTTTTTAATTTTCCTATGACAATTTGGCATAGTTTTTGCACCAGACCTTTCAACTTTTGGCAGAAGCATCATTTGGATGTTTATGATTTTTTGGATTATTTAGTTATGTATCCTCATTAAGGGTGGCTTCCTTGATTTTATTGCAATAAAAGTCATCGTTTTACCAAAAAAATTGGATGTTTCTTGTTTTTTGTTTTGGAGGGGGAGTGGGGGGGACGTTTCCACCTTCCAACGGGGTTCCTAGTAGTGTAAACTAGTGTTTTCAAACTGTTGTTGACGCAGATGGTTGGACCATTCGGCCTGAAAATCATCTAGGAAATCGGTTTTGTTTCACCCTTAACCTGTTCTTGGGTCAGAAACCATTGATTTGGTCAAAGAATTGTTGACCTGGGCGGTCAAAACATCGGCCCATTCGACTCGGACAGCGGTTCACGGTTTAACAAGAAGGCATAAGAGGTTCAAATACAATGGCTCGTGACAAGAATGAAGAATGATCTCTGAGACAAGAATGATCTGAGATCGTCCTAGAGAGAGAGAGAGATCATAGAGAAATCAGATCTGAGATCTAAGGGAGATTTGATGCTTGGATGCTGCATTGCTATTGCCGCTGCCATTGCCATTGCTACTGCCATTGCCGGTGAACATCAGATGATCCTCCTTCTTCCCTCCTCCTTCATTCATTCCCTCATTCCTTTCCGTTTTTTTTTTCTTTCTCTCCTCCCTCCTTTCTCTCTTTCCTTTCTTTCTTCCCTTCTTTTCTTTATTTCTTTCTTTCTTTCTTTATTTTTTTCTCAACCGAGTTCCAACAACTAGATATGTCTATTTCTCTTAATAAAAGACTAAACTGCCTGAACTATTTGACCCAACTGGTTGAACTATTGACTAGAAACCGGGGGCCAGAACGGTTCTGTTTTTGGGTCAGCCTTGGTGTTAACTTTTTTTAATTTCCAATGCACTCAAATCATGCACAAATGGAACACCTCCGGCAACACCACCATATCAAACATTGTCAAAATCAACACTTATAAGTATTCCATTATGAACTGATCTATTGAAGTTCTCTTTGTTTGGTTTTAGGGCTAAACTTTTTGATGTACCATTTTAGTACCTAGACTTCCAGAAATATACATTTAAGTCCAACTCCCTTGAACTAACTTTATAGTGAGGGGTAAAAGTATGAAAATGCCCATGTTCTAACTCTTTTTTTATTGTTCATCTTTCTTCTACATTTGGACTTTGGGTTCAGTTTGGAAGGAGTATAAATACAAAAATGTACAGTGCAAATACATTCAAAATAATACAAAATACAAGATTTTACACTCTACATATTTGTATTTGTACTCTTTCCAAACTAAGCCTTGGATGCAAACCAGTGGTGACAAAATAAGCATCCGAAAGTGAGATAACCCTAAGGAACAGACCGGGGTGAGCTAACTTTGTTGACGCTGATTTGCATTTGAAATCCAAAGGTAGAAGAAAATTAATAGTGAAAAAAGAGAAACAAAACATGGGCATTTCCCACTTTCAAACAAAAACTTTGTTCTTAGAGTATCCACCCACTCAACTAAAAGGTTTGAGTTTCAAACAATAATTAATTACCTCCACCTTCGAAAAAGTTAGTGGTAATTACCTCCATAAAAATAAAAAACAACAAAAAAACTCACTTCAAATAATCATAATCCATAAAGTGGATTATTGTTAAAAATAAAACTTGTTTTAATCTCTTAAATTATATAACAAACTTATATATAAAAATATAAAATAAAAAATGGATGTCAAACAAAATCTATCAAAATATATAAATAAAAAAACCAAAATACTGACCCACACTTCGTACGGGTCATTCTCTAGAAACATTTTGAACCATATAATCAACCCGTATAATAAAAAAACGGAAAAGTACGGATACACCCGATGCACAATTCTGAATTCCAGCCCCCTACTACTAATCCTCTCCCCCTTATAAACTACATGCTGCCCGTGAATTTACATCAGTTCATGGTCAGATAAAATTCTGATCTGGGCTATAAAATTCCCCCTGTACTATAGGGCTATAAAATTCTGATCTGGGCTGATTTGGTCATTCTCCCATAAAAAAAAAGCTCAAAACTAGGTGTCGACCCAGCCCATATAGTAGCTGTACTTCTGGGCTTCAATATCCATCAAGCTACCCGGCCCACCAGGCTCCTGGGAAAGGGACAGGAACAAGATGATCCACGATGGATGGGCTGGCCCAGTGGCCCAGGCCCATACACCCCGCGCCCGATTGCGGTGTTCAGCTGCAGGCCTGCAGGCTGCAACTGCCGCGGGATTGTCAGCTGGTTGGCAGTGGCACACAAGAAAGAGAGAGAATTTAACGTGTCGTTTTGGCTGCAGCATCCACGGCAGCCATGCGTGGCATTAACATAATTCAATAAAATCAATAAAAAAAGGAAAATTTCACTTTAATATCTTAAATTTTGGATAATTTCAAGTAAGTATCTGAATTTTTAAATGTGTCATTGTAGTTTTTAAACTTTCAAAAAGCGACAAGCGGATCTCTACTGTTAACCATCGTTATCAATTGAAAATGTCAAAACAATTCTTCAAAAGAAGATGCTATTCAAAATAAGAGAAAAAAATATAAATTATGATAAGGAAACAATAATCGAAAGCAAAACTATTGAATAGATAACTGACAATTGGTTAATAGTAGGGATTAATTTAATACTTTTTAAAAGTTTAGATACTAAAATGATACATTTAAAAATTTGGGCACTAACATGAGATTATCTCAAAGTTCAGATACTAAAATAGAATTTTCCAAAAAAAAAGTCAATGAAGCATTACATGTTGGAAACTTCGAGGAAGACGCTACAAGTGAATACAGAAGAAGATGATGATAGGAAAGGTTGGCTTGAAACTTTGAAGGAGGTAGGGACCACACGGAAATAGCCCAACGCTCTGACCAGAAGAAACCTTTCATCCATTCAAACCAAGCAAGAAAATGCACCCATCTTCCCATTTTCTCACCACCCAATTCCTCCGCGCTTTCTCCTCTCTCTATGTGACTCTTGACTTCAAGCTTCCATCCTGAGGCGTCCATCCTTCCCATCCAACGCTCAAGCTAAGCTCTTAGTACGTTTTCAGGCAGATGAGACGATACGATACACTTAATAATCAGTAGTTCTTGATTTGATGAATGGTTATTTAATTCTTAAATATTGTTGAAAATATTGATTTTTTTATAGGAAATTCCTGTTACAGCGACGATGAAACAATCTACTTCACATCTCTTGGCTTCTTTCTTCCTTCTTTCCTTGTATTTCTATGTTAATTGATGCATAAATAATTATACTGAAACAAGGAAGAAAGAAAGTAAAACAGAGGAAGAGGAGGCTTATGTTTGGGACATGGAGAAGCAATCAGTTGCAGCCACTTCGACCAACGGCCGGAAGAAAAACGAGTTTCTTAACATGATGAAGGTAACCCTTTCTTTGATTACTCCCACGTCTGCTTTTTCAATCTGATTCTAGGTGACATACCCTGAAAAACAGTCTAATTCTTGGTAAGATTTTCAGTGGGTTTCTGTTTTTGTTTTTATAGTTTTGTTGCCCATATAGAGAAGATGGTTTCCTACTTTCCTTTGAGTCTTATTATTTGTTTTGGGGTATGCCTTGAGTATCTGTTCTATTTATTATATTATAATCCAATCCAAATTATGGGTTTTATTCTCCTGGGTTGGCTCTGGTGTTTTCAGTTGTTCATGTGTTTCTTTCGGATCATTGTTTTGTTCTGTCATGTGTTTCTTTCCTTGAATCTCGTTAGTAAGATGACCAGCAGAAGATATGGAAGTTTTCTAAAACATAAGCATAATATTTGAGATGATTTGGTGTCATAATATCAAGGTTTGGGCTTATTTTAGCATGTGTTATTGGTGTGCTTATTGAACTGGTGCTGATAATCTACCTGCGGTTTTATACTTTCTGTTGCATGTTGAGTGTCTTGTTGGAAATCTGAATTCTCGATTGCTGAAATTCCTCATGTATTTTTGAATTGTAAACTTTTATCGAAAAGAAATAGGTTGCTTAGGTTTGTTTCAGCTCTATTTTGGCTTCATGAAATCCGATCAAGGTGATTTGCAACTTTCCTGATGTTTCTACTTTGTTTTCATGTTTTTGTTGGGTTTCAATATAGAGTGCTTTTTCTCTGAATTCATCGGCTCCAGACACTGGGAAGGGGCGAAGTAAATCATCAAGTAACAGAGTCTCACATGGATTCCACCTGGTGGAAGGAAAATCCGGTCATGACATGGAAGATTACCATGTTGCAGAGTACAGGAGCAAAAAGAACCACGAGCTCGGATTATTTGCCATCTTTGATGGGCACCTTGGTGATCGCGTTCCAAATTATCTGAAGAACAATCTTTTCAATAACATACTTGAGGAGGTAACTCTATCCCCATACAAAAATATTATACCCTTTTGCTAATTTGTTGCAACTTCTTCGTATCTTGGTCGCCGTCTATTTTTTGTTTTCATGTTCACATTTTGGCTCCATTCATCTTCCTCAGTTATTAAATGTGGAAATAAGAATTGGAATGAAAAGATGAAAGATTGGAAACTCCTAGATACATTGTCTTATGTTAGTTCATTCTGTTCCTTTAGTTACACCTAAGCAAGAAATAAAACTTATTTCAGATAGAAATGGACAGGCTCCACATTTTCACTTCATATACTATTTTCAACTTGTGATTTGTAAATATTTGCGGCCCGAGATTTTGAACCGCCACTTTGCCACATGGTGTTTTAACTTTCTATATGGTATGCCAATGATGCAATTTGTTTCTTAAGCTTTTATTTCCTTTGTAAGAGAAGATATATTTGAGGAAAAGAGTTGGGATGCTGAGAGAAGAAATAGTCCAGTTAAGGACCCTAGCAATCAAGAACAAGGGAAACAAAGAAAAGAAAAACCAAAGGAATACAATCTCTTTGTTCCATACTCATTCTTCTGACGATCTCCTGGACAAAGCATCACCCAATTTGTTCACTTTGTATGCCAGCTTAGAAAGCTCAACATCCAGTGAATATGTCCACTGTTGGATTTCTCTAGTAGCATAGGGAAGTCTCTGTGGGCTAGAGTCTTGTAGAAATCTAAACATTCCCAGGACAAATATCCTCAAAATTGAATGATAATATTTCATATAGATAGGAATTAAGAAAATTGAGTCTAACTAGAAATTAAGATACTGAATTGATCTTTTTTATTTATTTTTGTTTCCAATATTTATTCTCCCACTGTCCTATAAAACGCTGCTTTAAACTAATTATATTTACTCTACTTTTATATCTAATGTAATACAGCCAAACTTCTGGAAAGACCCTGAGAAGGCGATAAGGAATGCCTACCGTTCTACTGATAAATATATTCTTGAAAATTCTTCGAGATTAGGGCCTGGTGGTTCAACAGCAGTTACAGCAATTGTTATTGATGGTAAGGACTTATGGGTAGCAAATATTGGTGACTCCAGAGCCGTCTTGTGCGAAAGGGGCTCTGCAAATCAACTTACAGTTGACCATGAACCAGATAGTGAAAGGAGAAGGATTGAGAAGCAGGGTGGTTTTGTGACAACTCTTCCTGGTACATTTTCATTTGCCTATTCAACTGTCTTCGGATGCCTTTTTCTTCTTCAATATTTGTTCCTGTAGGGATTACAGTGTCAAATCCCATAGGATATGAGAAGCTAAACATGCTTATATTTGTCAACTTTTCTTTCAGGAGATGTGCCTAGAGTTAATGGCCAACTTGCTGTTGCACGTGCATTTGGTGATCAAAGCCTCAAGGCTCATTTAAGTTCAGAACCTGATGTAAGGCATGTAGGCATTGATGAAACTATGGGATTTGTTATTTTGGCAAGTGATGGCTTATGGAAGGTTAGTGTTTATCTCATTCACAACAAAATCATAATTTTTTAGTGCTTTTTATTTTTTTCTATATTTATTACTGTCATTTTTAATGTTTTTCCTGAGTTCTAATTTCCCCCTAGAGATAGGAAAAAGGACAACCTAAGGACTTAATCCCCATCAGTGCATGTGTATTGTAAGGGTACCCTTCTGAATGTATATTTTAATTGGTTTTGCTTCCATCTGACAAACAATTAGGCACAACGAAGGACCAGGAGGGTGAATAAAGCTTACCAGTCTGCAATTACCATTAGGCAAGCTTTATATGCTAAGTTGTTTTTAGTGAGCTTCATTCAGTTGCTCCATCCCATCTGGCTGTTTAATAATGGTGAAGTGGCTGAATTGAATGACTTGTTTATTTGTCTTTTAGTGGATGGACTAATTAAATAATGAAATATGTGAGGGTGTAGTAATCAACCCCACCCCACTTCTGCTTCAACCATTATGGATTTCACAACATCTATATAAAGACAGATCTACAAAGTCATTCAGTCCAGCCACTTCAGCAGTCATTGAACCTTCTCTTTTATTTATTTTTGAAAGTGCTTCTGTTAGAAATTTAATTATAGAAATGTATACCTGAGTGATTCTTATACATCACTCTTGATTATCTAAGAGTGCCAATTGATTGAATCTCATTAAATAAATGTTAGCTTTGCATGTGGGAAACTGAACTATATCATCTCGTGGCAAGAACAAGACAAACACAATTTCTTTTTCCCAAGTTGAAGTAGAAAACTTTTTTGCCCTCTTTTCCAGGTCATGAAGAACCAGGAAGCAGTAGATTTGGTGAAATCTATAAAAGATCCTCAAGCAGCAGCAAAGCGGTTGACCACCGAAGCGTTGGCGAGGAAAAGTAAAGACGACATATCGTGTATCGTCATCCGCTTCAGATGCTGAAAAGAATGTGCTCGTTTGTGATTTCTGTTAGTGTCATTCCTTCTGAATATGAATGGAGACTGGGAGGTTGTACCTGTAGAGAGAGCAGAAATTTGTTGCAGATGTTGTTGCAGACTTGCACTGTGACCATAACATATCAGCTGGTGTTTGAGCAATTAGAGAAAAGTGCGAACCACCCATATATCATCAAGGAGAGGAGAGAGTCCCCACCATGAATGGGTCTGTCTGGAGCCTAATTTACATAATTTACAGAGCTAGCTAGTTCTTTCTTATTGATACTTGGAACATGAAAGATTTCTTTTGTACTGTATGTATATATTATATGTGGTCTATTGGTATTATAACATGGAAACCATTCACTTTATGTAGTCTTATCTTTGTTGTTCTGTTTATCAGGGTGGTTTTGTGTTATTGAGCTGCTTTAACAGCAGCTTAAATCTCTGAATATTTTCTCTACCCATACCCCGTGCATGGTCCTAATCTCTTACTATCCGCGAGTCTAGAGAGGTGATTCCGAGAATATGTGATGGTTCAATTCAACCACGAAAATGGAATCAGAATAGATTCATGCCGTTGCTGAGGTGGATGTGGCAGCTATTTGTATGGATTCCAATCCGATGGTTACCAAAAAATATGCTTTCTTTTTCTTGTAAAACCAAAATTATGCTTTATGAGCCATTGTTGATGCTGCTCGGTGTCGAGTCCGGATATCCTGTACATTTATTTCTATACATTTCCCTGCACAACCTATTAAAGTGAGACACGTTAACGTTATATGGGTTAAAGGATTTGTACGTGCGAATAATTTAACCAGAATGAAATTACTTCCGTTTCTTTGTTATAGAGAAAAACAGGGGCAGAGTGGTGTTGGGAGAAGGAGAGAGAGAGAGAGAGGGAGATGGGCCTCCTCTTTCTTCGTTGTTGATGATCAAACCAGAGAGAGAAAGGAAAGGACGAGAAGTTTCCATTCCAATCACTGCCATCATTGTGGCTAGTAAACAATCCTCTCTCTCTCAATGCTCTTTTCTCTTGCCCTGCTTTCCATTTTTTTTCTTCTTCTCCCTTGTACTAGCTCAGTAGCTTGATCATGCTTTCAAGATCAAAACTGTAGTTATCTATCATAAGCTCCTAAATTATTGGCAAGATGGCCTTGGGGGAAACCTTCTAAGAAAACACAGATTTATCTTCATCGCTATTTCTCTTTTGTTTTATAACTTTTATTTTAATGTGTTTTTAAAGAGAACCTTTAAACAGAGCATCTTTAATGTTAAACTATTAACCGTGTGGTGGTATTTCATGCTTCTCATGTGCAGAAAAATGTGTAGGAAGACATGTGCAAGATATCCAGACTCCTCGGTGTCAGAGCACTAGTAGTCATCACTGGTACGTTAGGTGGCTTGCACATATGAGAAGAGGAGATAAACTATCAAACATAGCAGCTAAGTATTTAGTGAGAAGTGAGGACTGATTCCTAGTCTCATGGGAAAAGAGAGGATTGCGGTTATGACATTTCCAATTAAGCATCTGAAAAAAAGAGGATTTTAACTCAATTTCTAGCGGGGGAAAATCTGAAAGACTTAATAATTTTATTTACTATTAATTAATATTAAATTATTAATCAAAATTTGTTGTTAATTAACTAAAAGCATTTAAAGTTATTGTTAATATCTAAAATTTTAATAATTGTATTTTCATTTAATGTTGATTTATAGAAAATAATTATTATTAATTTAATACGAACAAACATTTTTTAATAAATTTCATTTTATTAATAATTTGTAGTAATTTTAATAATTGTTATTATTTTTAAATGAAGTTTTGATTAACTTTAAATAAATAAAAATAATTATAAAAGCTAACATTTTTATTAATTTCACTAATAATTAACAATTATATAGGAAATACAATATGGTGTGTTCAAGGCGGGGCACCCCATCCCCGTCCCTATCCCATAGTCAAGACACTCTACCCCATCCCTAGTGTCAGGTGGGTTTAGGGTAAGGCAACCACTCCTCAATGTCGGGCAAGTTCAAGGGCAAGGCACAGCATGGCACAACATGTCCCCAGTATTGGACGAGTTCAAGTACAGGTGTAAATCAGGTTGTGTTGGGCTGGCATGGCATGACCCGCATGTTTGTGCGGGCCGTGCTGTGCTGGCCCACAAGGCGTCCTGAGTCGTGCCTCCCTCCCCTGTGATGATTTGGGGGGTTGGTTCGACACAACCCTAGCCCGCACGGGCATGGGCTGGGATGGTCCATGGGCTGAGCCTTGGACCAGGCTAGGCCGTGGATCAAGCCAAACTATGAGAGGTCCATTTAAAAAAAAAAATTGAAAAAGATGTTTAAATTTTTATTTCATATGATTTTTTATACATTTAGACCTATTCATGGGCCGAGTAGCCCAATGGCCCGCTCCGGCCTAACCTATTATTTTTCAAGCTTGGACAAAATTTCAAGCTCGTGGGCTCGAGCTCGAGATTTCTCAAATAAGCCCAGTCCGGGCCTAAGCCCGGCCTGATACTATTACATATATAAAAAGTACTTATGTTATATATATATATATAAATTAGTTTATTAATTTATTAAATTATTATTAATTAATATAGTATTAGTTTATAAAAGTATACTAAAAATAAGACATTTTTTGTATAGATCGGGCTTTTGGCTCGGGCTTTCACATTTTCTTTTGATAAAGAGGCTCGTGTTAATTATAAAACTATGATTTTTTTTACAAATTAAAAATTTTATTTAATTCTAGTCTAGCACAAAAACATATATAACATTTCTATATATATATTAATATAAAATTTGTTATTTAAATATTATATAATAATATTTACCATACATGCATATAACTTCCAAGTTGAGTTTATTAGGGGTTGTTTAGCTTGGGCCCTATCCGCTAAAGCCATAATTGGACTCCAAAAATTTGATACCCAATTGGACTTTGAATCTGATTATCCCTAATAATGTGGGCATTGTTAATATCTTAGGTAGACCTAACTCAAAAGAAAATAGTTGATTGAGCTTGCAAATTTATAGATCTAATCAAGTTAGGTTAAGTTATAAATGATTTGTTACTTTATACTATTTATAGCTTAAATTTTAATTACTATTAATTACAGTTTAAAAATAATTATGGTTAATTATATTACTAATAATAATTAAAATACATTATTTTTTCATTATTATTCAGTATTTTTTGCAATAAAATAAAATAAATTTAATTTTTTAATTATTTTTAGTATTTTAATTAAGCTTCAGGTTTTTTAGAATTTTCGAATTTTTAATTATTTTTTTTTTCATTATTTTTTAGTAATTTTTGCATATGAGTATTGTTCAATAATTTTTAGTATTTTCAGCATTTATTTTTGCATAATAGTCACTAACAAGTTAATTTGCATTTGCTTTCAGTAAAGATAAATTAAATAACTAAATAAATACCATAGTTAATATAAAATACAACTAATTTTTAGTACTTTCAATAATTTCTAGCTTGGTTATTTTTTAATAATTTTTGGTATTTTTTAAAAATAAAATGCTATTAGTTGTACTTTTTAATTATTTTTAGTAAATACACTTATTAATATAAAATATTTTTTATTTTCATTATTTTTAGTATTTTAATTACGTTTAGGTTTTTCATATTTTTTTTGGATTTTTAATTAATTGTTTGTATTTTTTTCATTATTATTCAGTAATTTTTGCATATGAGTAATTTTTTGCAAGAAAATACTGTTAATAAAACAGGTTTTGCATTTTAAATTTTCATTAATTTTTATCATTTTTAATGAGTTTATTATGCACAATAAAGTTCTCAACTCATAAAAAATATTAATTGATTAAAAATACATTAATACAAAGTTATCTAATAATAAAACTATCAATTAATATTTTTATATTTAAATTTCTTATTTTTAATTAATTGTTGGTATTTTTTATTATTATTCAGTAATTTTTGCAATAAAATACTATTAATAAAATGGGTTCTGCATTTTAAATTTTCATTACTTTTTATCATTTTTAATGAGTTCATTATGCACAATAAAGGTCTCAACTCATAAGTTATCTAATAATATTATTAAAACTATCAATTAATATTTTTATTAGTGTTTATTAACTTCGATTTTTAAGTATAATTGAAACACATTTTTAATATTTAACAAGTTTTGTTAGTATTTATTTTTAGTGAAAGTTTAGTGGATTTTTAAATTAATAAATTTTTGATCATTTAACCTTAACATATTTATATTATTTGATTAATATTATTACGATTCTCTCTCTCTCTCTCTCTCTCTCTCTCTCTTTTAAATGTAATAATAACATGCATTAAAATAAGAGGCCTTGGAAAACCCAAAGGTCTGTCTCTAATAGGGTGCAACTTTATTAATGTTAAATTTTTTCATATCTTAATGTTAATTTTTTCATATCATTGTTAAGGCACTATTGTACACTTTAAAGTTTCAATTTTATCATTCACTAATTTATTTTGCCAGACAACTTTCAAAGAGTAATTCTCCCTACTCTGCTTGGACGAAATCAATTAAAAAGGCTTAACTGAAGTAAAAGGAAGTAAATCTTTTCTCTTTCAAGGTATTTTAGTAAATTTACATGTGAATAAAGTTGGTTAAGGGTAAATTTGGCATTTTAAAAAATTAATGCATTGCATTTTCTATTTGGAATGCTAACGAAAGGAAGTTATTTGCACCTTTTTTTTTTCAAAACAATAGAGGAGGTTTTGTATAAGGTCAAAACACAAGGGAGTTTCATAGGATTGTTAGAAAACCCAATGAGGTTTTTATAATTCTACTTATTTTTAAATGGAATATAAATTATTTTTAAATCAATTAAAATATATTTAAAATTAATAATTTTTATTAACTTTTTATTAATCCTTATTAAATTTAATTAATTATATTAAGATTTTACTTTTAGTAAAACTTATGTTGGTTTTAAATTAGTAAAAATTAATTATAAAACTAATAATTGTTAGATGGTTTTCTATTAGTTTTATATTAACTCTAAATTGATTTAGTTTTTATTTATCTTATTCCTTTTTATTAGTTAAATTATTTTTATTATATCAACAAAAATGTTTTCATCAATAACAATAATTAATAATTATTCTTATTTTATTTAAGTAATTAAATTATTGTTACTATGGTTAATTCATTTTTTTTATTTTTAAATAGAATATAAGAGTTTTAATTTTTATGATTTTTATTTAATGTTTTCAACCTATCATTGACTAAAATAGCTAAACCATTCAAGCAATCACTTTACCCTATTTCTAATTCCGGGTTTCTTAAAAACCTCTTTGTTCAACCTGGGTAGTTAAACCGTTGACCCTTTTAATCCAGTCATTGGGTCATAGGTTACAATTTACAATGTAG